GTGTAATAACTAAAGTTTTCCGGCGAAGCGGTGTCGGATGACACCGCTTGGACTAGGGTGCATTCGCCCCTGCTTCAGAAAGTCGTTGGTTGTGAAGTATGATGTTGCAAAACACCAAGACCTTAGAGCGTAACTCGAATTGGCAGAACAATGACAAGAAATTCAAAGTTTGGATGAGGGAGTCAGTCTCATAAAAGGAGCAGCAGCAGTCACCGGAGAGATGAACCGTGCTTGAACAATCCTAGAGAGAGGAATGGTGACTGAACGGTTGCTAGAGGGAGCGATCATGAATAGTTGCAGGGGAGAGAAGTGATACCTGGACGTTTTCCCAGAGATAGCAGCACTGGCTACCGAAGAGACGAGCAGCACAGGACACCGAAAGGAAGAAGAAAAGAAGAAAAGATTTATCGGGCGAGTGACACACACTGGCCAACATCGCCAGCCAGTAGCAAAAACTATTTGAGCCACTACCAAGGTTGCAGAAGCTCAGATACCATGTAAAAATTTAAAAAATAAATAAAAAGGAACTTCTCATTAACTTGATTCAGTAACATCGTGGAAGAGGTGCTCTGCTTGGGAGAAAGGAGCTTGAAAGTTTCAAAGGCGAGGATACAATCATTAGCCAATTGCAAAAGACACTACTATTTAGAAGAAGAAGAAAAAAGTGAAAAAGAAAACTTTGGAGCGTACACAACGTCCTTACTAGTATAGATGATATGATGGGACTTTGTAAAATAATCTCCACTGTTAGAGCTAGTGTGGTGTATACTTCTAGTATTATGGGACCATTTCTGTCAATAAAATATCATTTTCATGAATAAAAATAAACAATATAAAAAGAATCAACGAGCACTTCAAAAGCATCCATATAAATGAACCCAGATGCGGAAATATCTTTCTCAATGTACCTGCATATTCGATGCAACATCTACCACATAGTCGATGGCAGAATTCTTGTCTTGATAATGGAAATCAGTCTCAGACATAGCAGAAAGCTGCATGTTTAGAGTATATGTGAGCTAGAAACTTGACAAAAGAACGAACAGCCGTACATGTCTTTACTGAAGGCAATTCATCAAACAAAAATTTAAAGCTTTAAATAAAATGGCGAGCACTACTTTTACGAAAAAATGAAAAATTTCCACCCAATCACTGAACTATATCTCAATTTCAAACTAGCTGGGGACAACTATATGAATCCTTTGAATGCCCTCCACTTTAGTCGGAACCATTTCATTTCAATACTAAATAATTTGTCTTTTATGGCAAATTATCCATAAAAGTATCACTGAGGAAATTCAGTTTGCTCCGTATGTTTTATATATCTATCAATAAATCTTCCTCTAGCCTTAAAGGTATATTAAGCTCCTCTAAACAACAATAATCACTTTGGTGTTTGATACAAAATGAAGTGCAACAACCTCATCAAATATCCATTTACAGGCACCAGCTTGTCGTAGAAGGTCAATATATTTGAAAAGTAGTGCCACAACATCCTCAAAATGATCTGAAAGATTATTGAGACACGAAGGTCAGTGTAGTAAACTTCCCAAGAGAAGATGAATTCGAGAAACAAACGAGAAATTAGAGAAAATGGAGGGCCAAGAACAACACATTACCTTCTAAT